AAATTCTGAAAGACGTAGGTCTGTTTGAAACGAAATTGACTCTGTCACTGAAAGTTTGATTTAGATAGAGGGGCCTTTGGATCCGTGACGTATACATACGTGAAAACGAGAAGAATTATTGAAGTTAATAATGTCCGTTCATGATCCTAAAGAGGAAGCTCTTTCTTACGAGAGCGTATGAATCTGAGTTGAACAATGAGGCGTGGCAAGCGTAGACCAGTTCGAAAAGCTTTTGAAATTTTACATTTTTATGATTGAAGTAGCGAAATGATTGTTTATTTTTCACATCTCTTGTATGTTTCTATTTATATGGATTAAAAAAAAAAAAAAATGTACAGATAATTTTCCTGCACAACAACAATAACCCAGGGAAACTACAAGCAGTACGCTATAGAAGGAAAATTACCATTTTGAATATCTTTCTGGCGCTACTTACTATTTAATTATTATTTAATTTTATCATCGAAACAATTCTATGCAATTCTACTATTTTGTGCAAAAAAAAAAAAAAAAAAAAAAAAAAAAAAAAAGATAAAAATCCACTGTATTTACAGTGCGCATGTAAATTTCAAAAATTCCCCACTAGCTAGTTTCAAACTATGAGCCGTTACTGACCTTGACTATCCCTGAAACCTTTTTTCTTTTCTTTTTTTATCTAAAAGAAAAACATTTAAAAAAGAATATTTAAAGAAACGTTTGAGAAAAATAAAAAATTATTCCTACATTCGAAATATATAAATGTAAAATCTATGTTTTGGCACAAATGAAAAACAAACGAATCACGTAGGTTTATAACCTTCTCTTTTGGGACATTCTGCCTAACATTATGTTAAAACGGATGACATTACGTAAATCAAAATTACGAATATCAGAAATCGAAAATACTGACAAGCTGCGACAAAATTTCCCTCTTGAAATGTAAATATTTTAAAAGTGTTGTAATAATGTCATCATTCTACAAGAACAAAAGGTTACATAAAAGAAGGTTACTTTAAAGAAGCAAAGAGGAATGTAAAAAATGGTAACAACTAAAGAAATTTAACGAAAAATTTATGCCATATGTGAAAAATTCAAGCGATAAAGATGATTATTGTTTGAAATATTGTTTCAGAGTGAAACAAAGGTGATATTTTAAGAATAAAGCACAGGGACGAACATAGTTACTCTCTATGGTGACTTGTTGCTCTTAAATGAAGATTCCTGTGTGTACAAAAAGAGTTCCGTCAGTCGGAGTCTGGGTAAAAGACCCCCTTAGCAAAGAAAACTCAGGGTACCTTAAAAATCATCAAATTTCTTATTTCAGTGAAGTCCAGCCATCATTCAAAAACGAAAATGAAAATATGATCGTAGGCACGCCCCTGATTAATTTAATATATCTGAAAAATAGCAGGAATTCAAATTTATAGACATCTGAAAATAGTTAAAAAAATTTTTTTTTGACGAATAGTGCATTGTGTACGTCTATTTTAAGTATAATTAATATAACATCACACAAAGAGGTAACCTTGATGGAGAACACTTCTTTCTCAAAGGAATATAGTATTCCAGAATAAAATAATTAACATTTTGGTGAACATTTTTTCGGGCGCAGAATGTTGCTCCAAAATGACCAATAAACTTAAAGTTAAAGGTCATTAAAGCCATATCAATTAGAGGGAAACGCATAATTAAAAGAGTTTTGTCAAAGGTGACAAAATGTTATCTACAGAAAAGTATTGAAAAAGTTAAATTAGAAAAGCAAATCGAAAAAATTGAGCAAAATATTATAAATTTACCTTATCCGTGAATTTGTTTGTTGTTAATTATGTAGAATTAGTATGAACAAGTATGAAGATATTGGTTTTCTTTCGCTTGGTTTTTGTGCTACATGAGTTATAGAAAATGAGAGTTTTAAAGTGTGTAGAAGAAAAGGAAAAAAAAAAAAACGTTAAATTTAAACAAATTTAAACAAATTTAAACAAATTTACAAACCATACTTTTCAGAGTGTAATATCTTCGTGACTCGTAAAAGACGCACCACAACGTTTTATGTTTGCCTTTTTTTATCTCTGTGATACGTTATGTGTAAATAATTTTAGTATCGCACACGATCATGCGATTTTTATAATAAATAAGTATAGATAGCGATAATAATAACGTATAAAAGAACAAAATTGCGCATGGCTCCGTTTATCAATGGCACCCGTTTATTTTAATCTGTTTAGTCAGAGATTCGTTTTATCCACCAATAGGCACACGCTCCTTTTATCCCCAGGCCAACCCACGAGTATTTTTGTGCTTAAGCTGACCAAAAAATCATGACGGTAGTACGATGGCCGACCGCGTACGGTATCGAATAAATGTACTTCGTTTTTTCTATTAATTTATAGTAAATCGTTTGATCAGCTTCGATCATTCGATGAAAGCAAAGATTATAGTAATTATTTAATAATTATTCGTACGTAATTTTGTCGAATCGTAATTTAATCTTTGACAAACTCCGACAAGTAAATATCTTGACAATGTAAAACTTATGACAAATAAAAATCTTCGTTCCGACAGAAATAAGAATTTTTAAAACTTTTGACAAGTAAAACTTTTGAGAATATAAAACTTTTGACAAGTAAAAATCTTCGTTCCGACAGAAATAAGAATTTTTAAACCCTGAACAGTCAAGTTTCGATGGATGGGTAATTGAAGAGATCACGTTTTTTATTGAGATTTTGTTATTCAACGACGTATTTCGTCTCTTTTATGTATATTACGGATCTCGCGAATGAATATCAGCAACGGGAGGTGGAGCATTCGCACGTGCGATAGAAAAAAATTAAAAAAAGAAAATTAGCTCGTACATTTGCGAGAGGATGAATATGTAGCGATGATAAGTAGACAGCGATAGGTTGTTGACCCATTTGGATTACTTTACGCAACTTGGCGAGGGGGGACAGCACGTAAATTATGGCCGCACAGTACGTGCGTGATTCTTTCGTTTAGTGGGGAATATATCGAATACAGTTCGCAAATTGCGCCGTAGTTTCGATCACGCCCACAATAAATAATTCAATAATTGCGCAAGTTCTTTCTCGAACTTTGTTTGGCCGAAATTTTTCCACTCGCTACGCAACTTCATGAAATAGCGGTGAGAATTAAAAGATTCCGCTGCAAGTAAATGTCACGGAAGATCGCGGGGGCAACGATGATTAAAACAGCACGTGCGTAATCACTGTTTTCTTTTATTGATGTAAAATTTGTGTACAGTACAATGCATAAATTAAGCTGTTTACAGTTTTATTTGCAACGATAGGGAAGCAATGTTTCACAATTAGGCAGTCATCGGTGATAATTTGACAGTAATTAACAATACAACAAATGGAAGATAATTCCGTAATTTAAAAAATAAATGAATGTCAGTTAATGTCATGTTTCGTAGAAAAGATACTGTTTCAATCTTTGGAAGACGGTTCTCGTTCGTAATCGAAACAATTTGTGTGTCTTGTTACTTCCTTTAATTTGAACGTATGAAATACATGTAAAAAAAAAAAAAGACGGACTAAGTACAAAATACAAGTACTAGAATAAGATTAATTTTCCGTACGAAAAGAATTTTTGTAATGTACGAAAATTCGAGGAAACGGGAACCGATTCGTAACAAAGTTTAGGATAACACGCAATCGCAAAATACAAAGGTTTCTTTGTTTTTCTTAAAAGTACGCTGCGCTGTAAAAACAGCAAGTAACAAAATATCAGTGTAGATTAAAAAATAGATTATAGACGAGTTTTGTCGCTGTTAATCGCCTTTGCAACAATGAGTATCTCATCTTGTTGGAATTACACTTAGTTATGTTGTTTAATTAAACAATTCTTCGATCCTCACATCGAATATCGAGTGCCAGATTCGAAATATAAACTATCGTAATATGTCAAATCTGGAAATCAATCGTTCATCGTTTTTGTAAGAAATGTCGAAATTTTGCACAGATGTGTTGATGATCACGGTTTTTTTTTTTACCATCGAATCGTAACTATTAATAAAGCCTCTCTACGTAAACGATAAAAAATATTCATTAACAATGATCGGTATTTTTTTTTTATTTTCATCTAGATTATTTTCTTTTCTAATATACGTACAAGTAGACTAAAAACCATGCATTAGCCTATAAATTTCTCATAAATACTGTTCAACATAGTTGATTATGTAGTATTAAAATATGCACAAAAGCATAAATTATTCGTTGTACAAGTTATGAAAAAAAGGAAGCTAATTCAATTCGTTTGAAATGCGTGAGGAGAAAATCCAAGGAAAATAAACTTGAATTGATTGGAAAAAAAAGTCGTTGATACAAATATGCTTTTCAAGAATTAATTCTGAAAGATTCTAGATAATGCAAGTCCATATATTTGTTGGAGAATTAACGTCAGATCGTGGAGATAATAGTCAGATCTACAAGTTTGTATGTACAAACGATTAATTTTTGGCAACAAATTCGAATATATATAGCATATATATATAGTATCAATTCGAATATATATAGAATATATATAAGTATATATATAGTATTAATTCGAATATATATAGTATATATATATTAGTATATACATATATATATAAGTATATATATAGTATTAATTCTAATATATATAGTGTATATATATAGTATATATAGTATATATATATATATATATATGTATATATATCGAGTAATACTAATTCTAAGTAGTTCCGTATAATATATATACGGAATTATATACAGAACTATTTAGAATTATTAGAATTTAGAATTACATCGCACGGAACTATTTAGAATCATTAGCAATCTATTTTGGTAACCTAACAAATGTAGTTTACAACTATTTATAAATGTAACTATTACATAAACTACTTCTATGTATCCATAATGTCACAATTAAATCGATACTAATTACATAGTATCGAAATCACTACTTTCAATTAAAAAAAAAAAAAAAAGAGAAGGACGAAGGAAAGGAAAAGTTGGGATTAGTTACATATACACTACTTAATATTAAGTTTATAAAAACAGATATATGTATAAAATTGTTGTCCATAAACACCTCGCTAGACTATATCATATCGAAAACGGTCGTGTTGGCAATTAGTAAAATTTTTTATACTGTAGAGTTTAAAACTACTTTGTCAAGTTTTTTCTCATATCACATAAATGATATATAAATATCCTACTTAATAATATACACTTTTGTTATTTGCAAAAGTTCCTTTCAAATTTGAGGTTGCATTTATGCTATACGGTATATCTTTTATGAATTTCTTGTTAAATTTGTAAGTTCCTCTTTAAAATATATACGGAGGTTTAGCAGAAAACTAGGAGGGAATACAAAAAAATCGGCATCTTAATATTTTATCATTGGACAGCATAAATTTCCAGAGTAAGCAAAATATAATATTTTCTTCTCTCTCTTTCGTAAAATATGTAAAAGTTCTTTAAATTTGTGTTTCGTTCTTGCTTTCTTTGACAATAATACAAAATGATAACAAGTTCCAATGAACTTTTGTAGCACAGAGATCAAAGTGTAAAGAGATACAACTTCCACGATATTTCTTTCAATATCGTTCATATCGTAAAGCTTTAGACCACGTACCTCGTTACTCGTTAATCAACTTTATTACCCTGCAGGAAACTGAAAGACGATATTTTCGATGTATCATATCTCCTTCTTCTGTTGTAGCCTGTTTTTTAAACTTTGCAAATAAACTTTGCATGTTCTTAAACCTCATTCAGACGATTGCGACGGATTGTTATTTTCATTTCTCCGTTGCAATCGTTCTGGATGGGAGCAAGCTAACTGGCTAAAATCGCGAACAACATCGTTGAAAGTTTCGTCGCCGCTAATTCCGATCTCTGAATCTTTCATCTCTTCGTTTAAAAGGCCAAGTCTTAGTCTGAAATATATAAAAATACGATAAAATTTTCTTGATAATACAAATTTGCTTCATACTTACAATGTTACAATGTCTGCATTAGCTTCCTTCACAGCTATGGACAAGGGTTTTACACCACTTTCATCCTCGATATGCTGATCAGCTCGATGTTTCAGCAACAAACATACTTGGGCGGTATGTCCTAGATGTTTCATATAAACAACCAAATTTACGATCAATTTCTTCGAACAAATTACGATCAAATATATTTACGGCAAATGGACAAGCATGTATACCTAATTCTGTAGCCAAGTATAATGGGGTTTTTCCATCAGCATCTTGGCAGTTGATTCGTGCTCCATTTAGAATCAGATATTCGCAAGACATCACGGAACCCTGTGTTTAACAGAACTAAATTATCAAAGAACTTAGATGACAGTATTTATACTTACACTTATAATTGCCTGATGCAAAGCGTTTCTTCCTCTATCGTTGACATTCGTCCATAATTTATCAGCACCGGCTGCCAAAGCTGCGCACATCACAGGAAGATTGTGTGCAGCAGCAGCTTTGTAAAGCAGCATCTCAGGATGTAAATTCTCGATATCCTCCTCGTCCGTGAATTCTTCGTCCTCGCCAGCAGTCGAATCTTGATCGGAACTTAACTCTAAGCTATTATCGATCGTTGGCTTTGGCAAATCGCATCCGAACATTAATACGTCGGATTCTACTTTACACTGCTTCTCCGTTTCAGCGTCTTTATTCTCGAGCGTATCTTTCACATCGCAAGTCTCTGTGCTCAAGGACACTTCGCTTTTTATCGACAGGCTATTCTCTGAATTGCTCGTGGCGATTGTATCGTCCTTAATTTCAGGAATAAGACGTTCGTTATGTTCGTTCTCGACGTTCGCCTCCGTATCGTTATCGATAGTTTTCGAGATACTTTCGTCCATGTCGTTACGCGGCCGTGCTAGAATTTTCCCATACAACGTGGAGTCGTTCTTCAAATCCATATTCGTGCTGTCGTCGGAGCTCAAAGAATTTCGTTCAATCTTTTTGGTTTTATCGACTGAATTATTTAAACTTTCGATTGATGTGTGCTTGCTGTCGTCAGAACTCGTCAAACGATTACCCTCCTTCACAGATGATAATGTCGTTATTTTGTTACGATTTGTGCTATCGATTTTATCGCAACTTCGTGGTCGACGACGCAACTTGCGGACACTCCATTTGCGAAAATGCATCTTATCGCGACTTGCGTGTTGTCCGGATGAAATTATGTTACTTAAAGGCTTGACGAATTTCCGCTCTACGTATTTTGCTCTTATCCAAGCTTCACGTATATTGCTGTTAATTTAGAAGAAAAATTCAGTCATACACTGAGCAAATCCCTTTTTGGAAAGGACAATGAGTATCATTTATTTTTTATATTAATGTTACGTACCCATTGCATTTTGGTGTAGCTCTGATAATATCAGGAGGGATTGGTAGAGCTTCGTAAACATTGTTCACTACAGTGTTTCCAAGTTCTGCCATTACTTTTAGTATCTCTGGTTCCCAGTCGTCCAACGTCAACGAACGAACTTTGCTGTAATGAACACCTAAACTTCTGTGCACTCCAGAGCACTCTAAAAAGAAAAAGAATTTTGAAAAAAAAAGAATCTGATTTTTGGAATTTGTGAAAAAGTGGTTTACCTATGCAAAGCGTAATTCCAAGATTGATACTGGCCCACCGTGGATTAGCACCACCACAATCGCAGCAAGTGTCATTTCCTGCGATCTTTAAGATTTGTTCCCAGACTCTATAGAAGATAAAATGATTTTACCAATTTATTTTTCGATTTAATCTAAATTAAATCAGCTGTTCACGGCATTTTTTTTTTTATAAATACCTAGACTTGGGTTTCGTCTGTTGTCTGTTCAATCCTTTAATATTCTGCGATTGTGATTCCCGTATATTAACTATAGTACCAGTACCCATACCTCTTTGAATAGCAGCACCAATCGCCTGTTGCATGGCAGTTACCCACGCTAAATAAGCTTCTTCGCTATCAGCTTGTAATATGTGACTCCTATAAATTAAATAGCAGGCATTTGAATAAAATCACTGTACAATCTACGTAATAAATTTTGCTCACTTGGTAGGACTTAATACTTCAAAACAATTTCTTCTATCACAGTCGACCACTGGTTTCACAGTGCAGAGACGAAGATCTTCTTCCATAATGGTGTAATCATTATCACCGGTCCTCTTTCTATACACCAGTTGGTGATCTCTTAAACAAAACCACCTTCTATTCCACGTTTTAAATGCGTTACTAGTACGTTTAAAAAGATACCCTTCCATCTTTGGATTTCCGGGTATTGGAGAAGGTATTAGGTCTCTGTTCGTAACGTAAATGTGCCGATTTTCCATTTCCTTCTCGAGTTTCACAGAATCGGCTCTCATTTTAATTAAGTTCTCACCGAGATCTTTCAAAAATGGGTCTAAATCTTGCGCTAAATCAGTGCCTTGGTGGTAATAAGTAATGCACGCGTTCATGTAATTAAGTAGGGTACCCAGTATTTCGTGTCGCTTGCGTGCTTGTATCATCGTTAAAGAATGAATATAATCCAAAGCGGTATGCCGGAAACAGGATCTGGTAGCTGACAAAATATTCGAAGTTTCTTCATACTCTGTAGGCCTAGACTTTGGAACTTGAGAGTTTCGGTTTAATGCTATATCTAAATCCGCAGAAATTTTTTCAAAGTAATGACGAGATTCTTTCACCCTCTTGATATCACTGTTAAATAATATTGTTGTGTACATATATATCCATACAAATAAATACATTTTTTTAAATATTTGAATTACCTTTTAATAAATGAGTTAAGATCTTTAATTACAGTTCTAGATGCTTGATCTAATAAAATAGTGTGAAACTTATTCATTTCTTGTAAAGCATGGATTAGTTTGTTGAGTAAGGCCATTATCTCTGAATCATCAGCAAAGTACAGAGATAACTCCCAGAGACTATTGGAAAATTGGCTGAAAATAAAGAAAAAAAAATTATAAATAATATAGAAATTTATAAATTACATACTAGCAATGAGGGTAATTTATTAGATTAAAAATTATATAAAATAATACAAAAATGTTTGGTTTTTTAAATATCTTTTATTTGCGCACAAGTATGTGAAATTAGTGAAAAATGAGTAATGCCTGACTACCAAGTGCATCATTCACATATCAAACTAGCTACCATATGTATGAGTCATTCTTAACAGAGCTGTAATTCATATGTTCCTCTCTATTGCTTGGTGTCTCCCTCTTTCATTTTATCATTGAACATATGTACATATTTGATTTAAAACAACCAGCAACTCTTTAACCATATATATATTTCATTGGACCAATCAAATATTTATGGATTTGTCAACTATTCCTATCACATTGTATATGCTTTTACATTTTTATGGAAGCTCTTCTTATTTCTCTATTAATTGCATGCAACAAGTTACATGATTCGTGACATACCTCTGCTGTCCTACAAAAAGTTTCCCAGTATCAATCATCTGGCTACAGTTTTTCAACACCTACAAAGAATTCTATTTTCAGCTAGTTTGAAAACATAGATGACTATCATAATAATATTTTTGATGGAGGCTTTGAGATTACTTATGTAACAGTCTGTTACAATGTAACTGCAACTACATATAGTTATTGCATTTAAATACACTGTCAATTCATTTTGGAGTAAAGGAAATAATGCAACCCTTTATGTATAATATAACATGCTCGAAAAATTCTCTTTACAGTTTTTCTTGCTCCATGTTATCTTTTTTTTCTCTTTTTCCTTATAAATTATTTATAAATACCTTGTCTAATTTTTGTTCGAGTATATCAACGTTTGCCTCTACTTCCTCGATGCAAGATCTGCAAAATACAAAAGGAAAGTAAAGGAGCTTTTGGGATATGCTACATATCGTTTATTAATCAAACGCATTATCAATGGAAACGCGTTGATAACAATCGGAGCGGCGCGCGCACGAAACGGAGCACTCTGAGCGAACGCAACTACGCGAAGATTTTATACATGCAAGCGATTCTCACCGAAACTTTGGCGTGTCTCGCAAACATTCCTCGAACTCGATTAAAGGCTTCATTTTGTACTATCCGTTGTCTCGGGAATTTTCAAGCGCAGTATCGTCCGACGAACTGCAATCTTGAAATTCTTCCGTTCACTATTTCCCCATCAAACAGCACGATCATTTGGAAACACTGTTTAACATAGATCCCTTTCGCATTCGCTGAGAACAACAGAGTTCCCCTCTCTTCTGTCAAACGGAGTACAGGTTGAAGTTGTATTCGAGTCACGCGGGCCAGTGTTTGTCAGTGCTGGTAACATCGAGGAGCGAGAAAACGTCACGAGAAGCGAAATATATCGATTCTCGCTAAATACATCTCGTTGAGTTTTTCCATTCAACGCGTCGTTCCGCGAGATATTTTATATTTTTTCGCGTCGTTCGTTCGCCTCTGCCCTTTTATCTTCGCGAAACGATAGTTCGTCGAGTTTGCCATTATCTGGCGAATGTTCCATTTTCTTTTTCGTGTTGCAAGATTGTATTTATGTACTGTACACTTGTTCACTTCGGAAGGCACATTGAGTAGAAAAAGCCGTTCGGTATTTGTAAACATCAGATTGAAAGTAAGTACGTTACATAACGAAAGCATGTTTCCTTTCAGTTTTCTTGATCGAGAAATGGATTTCGAGTCCCGGTAATATTAGAACGCAAAGTGTACGAGGGTTGAGCCGTTTCTAACCTATTTGTTTGTCTGGCTCGACTTTCAAGTCCGAAAGAATTGCATTTTTACGAATAAATGTTCTACAAGTGTTTGGTTATAGTGACGAATATCCCTCGGTTACGTTCTCGGAGATTTGTCGCCTTAACATATTGTAATAATATATTATAGTAATATATTGGTTTGATCTATCGACTATTGTTTGTTGAACAGGACCGTTATGACGGCTGGAACTAGCACAGAAAAGTCGGCTAGCAATCCTTTGGAGCAGTTTGTGCTACTGGCAAAAACTGCGAAAGGAGCAGCTGCCATAGAGCTCATTAAGCAAGCGGTAGAGACACCAGGCGTACATGTATTTGGAGAGCTACTGGACATGCCCAATATCAAAGAGTTAGAGAACGGACCTTATGTTCAATATTGGAATACTCTCAATTTATTTGCGTACGGCACGTATAAGGAATATTTAGAGAACAAAGATAAGGTTCTGGAATTGACCCAGACGCAAAAGAAAAAGCTCCAACATCTAACCATTGTAACGCTAGCCACAAAGTCCAGATGCATACCGTATTCCGTGTTGTTGGAAGAGTTAGATATAAAGAATGTTAGAGATTTAGAGGATTTAATAATAGAAGCTATTTACGCAGATATAATACATGGCAAATTGGATCAAAAGAATTCACAGTTGGAGGTAGACTATGCTGGTTTGGGTCGCGATGTGAGACCCGATGATACGGGTGTTGTAGCTGAGACGTTAGCTGCTTGGGGTCAGGCTTGTGATACAGTGTTAGCATGTATTGAGGAACAAGTCACAAGAGCTAATGTAGAAAAACAAAAGGCAACCTATCACAAAGAAAGAATACAAAGAGATGTAAGTAGTATGAATTCTAGTAAACCGATATTTTGTACTGATGGACTTTTCACTTTCTTGTTGTTAGATTGCAAACATAAAGAAATCGCTCGCTGCACAAGCTGGAGGAGGTGGTGTGCAGGAAGCTGATATGGCAGGAGGCAGTTCTGGGGGCGAATCAAGCAGGGAAGCATTGTCAGGTCCATCCGATGCTAAGAAAAAACAACAGAAGGTCAAAGGTATTAAAGGCAGTGGTAAGTTCTGGAAGACAATTCAGTAATCTTTTATCATGTGAAATTTATTTCAATCAAAGACTTGATATTACAATCGTAAAAAGTTTCGGTTGTAATACATTACATGTAATCTGCATTGAAATTCTTGCAATTCTATGTAAACTGCGATAAACAATGATGGCCAATGCAATTAAGGAATGGAAAGTTGGAGTGATTAGAGAAAAAAGTTCATTGCCATATCGTGGCATATAGAGTCCAGAGGGATTGAATTTTCATTAATTTAAAGAAAAAGATCTTGTGTATATATATACACACACACATATGTAACGAGACATGGCACTATAAATTATTGTTATGTTTGTTTAGTGATAACGTTTGTTTATATGGAGATTTTGTTATATTAAAGTTGCAAATTTTTTTCTAAATTGTCGTTTATATTATGCGTTAGAGAGAAACGAAAGAAAGTGAAAGAGGGTAAAACGAATTTATTAATATGCACTCTATTTAAGGTAATAATTCGAGTTAACAGATGCATGGATAAGGTAGTTATATGAAACGATATCTTACATGAGGCGAAAATTTATTTGGCTTATTTAGATTTCGAGTTGGTACTGTTATTAAGTCTCATATTTTATCACTAATGTTTTTAGTGATTTTGTGCTAGAAGAGTAATCATTATTATCAAACGATATAAGATGGTAAAAATAAGATAGATTTCAAATTTCACTGCATACAGTATGCAATAATCTGCATAGATTAGCTGTGGTTCAGAAATTAAAACGATCATTGGAAACGGGTTAAATCGTAAATAGTTACGATAGTGAATCATAAATTTAATATTGAATTAATAATTTCCTCTCAGCGATTTAAAACAGACAAATGTAAATCGCGAATGAAACATGGTGAAATACAATTGTGATTGTCCTCACATCGATACTTTAAAAAAAAAAAAAAGAAAAAACCGGAGAAAATGACGAATGATTTTCTTACAAATGAGAAGAGAAAAAAGTACTTTTATAACGAATAAGCTTCCGAATTTTTGTAAATCGTGTAGCGTTTACGAGAGTTCTTTTTAACAAGACCAAAGATTTTATACTTTGTGTTACAAGGTGTGAATGATAACGAAGCAGGGTTCGATAAGTTTTATAGGCAAGTTTGATAGCTGTTGCAATGAATTTTAGCATATTTATTATTGTATCTCCGTGCCTGCACAGAACATCACCGAGTGACGCCAGAGTTTAGCGTGACGAATTACTTGAAATGTGTCACCATGCAGTATTAATCTATTTTCTATCGTTTTTGCGTTAACGTTCGCATTGTCTTTTTATTTCCTCTCTATAAAGACGATATGATAAGTAGTCGTCATGAGAGACAGACGGTAACTCGTAACAAAGCGTAACTAGTCGGATTGATCATTATTATTAAAGGAAAATGAAAAAGAAAAGGAAGGGAAAGATTGTGCGTCTGGCAGGATGTGCTTGGTATACGAACGACACGTTGTTTAGTGAGCAAGATGATGTCAGTCGAATTGCAAAGCGTTGTAATTGCAAATGGAATAAAAAGATAATTTATTTTAGCGAGGCTTTTCTATTTCTCTGCACCCTTTAACGCCTTTCCTTCATATCTGTATGGTATGAGTGACCGTGAGACTTTAGAGTGCAATTAGGTTCGTAATATATCCTCTTCGTTGAATGTATTTAATCAGCATAGGATGCGATAAATAGGAGTTTCGAATTCGATTCATTGGAATTGTTTGTCTTTTTTTTTTTTTTTGTTATTTTTTGTTATTCGTAGAAAAGCTTTTGCGAAAGGCGGCAGTGTCTAGTTTTTTTGGAAACGCGGAAATGGAAGTCGCGCGGTTACAAGTTACACCCTGTTCGATTGGTGCGTGCGTGTGTGTGTTTAACAGTAGTGGTGTGTGCTTTTCTCACAATCTAACAATGTGTATAATAGGTACAAGTCGCAAATGATACGCCTAATCGGGATTTTCAGGATCTACTAATCCGGTAAGGCACCATGAACCGAGCGATGAGCCAAATTGAGAAGTTGATCTTAGGTGAAACCTCGTGGCATATCACCAACTCGATCTCGGATTCTATCTGTCTGTCTGTCTGTCTGTGTCTACATCGCTATACGAACAGCGCATCGTTTCTTCTGTAACCTTTTTGTACTTCTTGAGAAATAAAACAGATCCTAAAAAGTAACACGTCCTTATTGTCAAGCCTCGTTCGGATTGGTCGAGTTAGTTGAATCTAACTCGTTTGAGTTCAAGTGATCTGACTAGAGACGCCAGTGAACTAACAAGTGGCCTATTTTATTGTTTCTCTCTCTCTCTCTGTCTTTTTTTTTTTTTAATTAATCGTACTACTTTATAAAGTAATATAAAAGTTTCTCAAGCCTGTCTGATAAATAACAGGTCCACACTAGTGAGAGCGGTTCCAGGTTATTCGAATTACACTGCTTGAATTCCGATAACTTGACTAATTTGAACAAGGCGTGAAGTGGGCCCGGTGTTCGTGGGAATTGAACATTGCTCAGAACGATGCTTGTCAAATTCCCTTCGTGAGATTCGAGGATAAAAAGGAGATGATACAGCGAAAGGATAAAGTAATTTTTTTCCCAGTTGTGGCTTTATTTCGACAATATTCTTTTCTTTCTCTCGGTAACTTTCGTTTATGTTTCAACGAATACATCCGTTCGTGTTTCAGCGTAACATCACGTAAACCTATGTCTTTCTCTACTGTAGCGTTTCGTACGTATTTAAAATATCCTTAGACCGTGAATAGCTCGCTTAATGTGAATAGTTCACGTGAAGTTGCCTTAGTGTTGCTTCTCTCTCTCTCTCTCTCTCTCTCTCTCTCTCTCTCTCCCTCTCTCTCTCTTAACATTGTTATTACGTTGCACCGTGGAATTCGTCATTCGCGTGGCGAATTTTAATCTCGCGTTCAAAGTTCACTTAACACTTACAGAATTAGTTTATGGCTAAATTGGTTCCGTACGAACTAGTGGTTTTCGTTTCCACGTCTTAATACTTAGCACGGTGTCAATCTATATTTACAATCACATATTTTGAATGTATTTACATACTCTCGAATTAAATCCGATCGTTCGAGATAAAAAATAAAAAAAGAATACATTCACACGTTCTCGCAAAGCTGTGTCGTACGAGTAACATCGGTTACGTTTTCTTTCTTTGATCAGAATTTTGCTTTCGAATGAAATTATTAGTTCAACTCCTGATGCTCGGTTAATGTCTCTTTCAACTTATCAAATGTCGTTGTAGCAGAGTGTTGTTTTGCTTTTTTTTGTTTTGAAAGAAACGAGGGATCGGTGCCAAACGATGGATACTGGGCTCATTTGTACCCAAAGTTCGACACGGGGGAATATCCCTTTCGAGATTCTCTATAAAAATTCAAAACGTTTACAAATCGTCTTTTACACACACAATCGGCGCTATATAAAACGGCACAGAACGAATTGCTTGAAGTGATCGGCAACTTTCGTTATACTCATTTTTCGTTTGTTCAGGCGAAACTAACGTAAGAGGAAACAAGCTACGTACACACGAGTTAGATTGAGATATGTTCGTCGTTGACTGCTACACTACGAAAAGAATTTACAAGTATATCTTAACACGTATGTACATTTCTGGTGTATCTACCGAACGTACCGTTTTTATTGTTCGGTCGCTTACACTTTCTTTCGTTTATACAGAGATCAAGCGTTGACGTTCGATTAAAATCTTAGAGCGACTACAGACGTTACGTTATTGAGAAATTTACGTTTCGCAATATATATCTCTGATTGAATTGACGCAGTTGTTGCGTCGTTTTTTCATTTTTATTTCTTTTTTTTTCTTTTTCTTTTTAAATTCTACGCGTAGCAATTCCTACAGTCTGCAGAGAGGATATCGAAAAGAAGGAGAAAAGATTAATTATCTAAGACTCTACGTTCGTATAGTCACACTTGGGAATTGTTTTTCTTAAAGAGAATTATTAGCTTCGAATTAAGTATAATTGTATATAGTTATCCTTTCGAGTAATTTACTCTGTGTATATGTGTGTGTGTATGTGTATGTGTGTCATTTCGTTGAACTATTTACAGAAATTTAATTTAATTTGTGTATAGAACAATCGACGAATGGTATTCTCGATGTATCGAACGACTGATCGTTTCCCTCCTCTTTCCCTTTCTTTTTTTTGTTCCTTAATGTTTTTCTTACAAAAGTTGCTAATAGAAGATCGTTTAAACGTTTATAATCGTATTTGGCAACGATACTTTTCTTTTTTTTTTTTTTTTTTGGATACGTGATCTTTCTCCTCTCCTTTTTTTACACAATAACGAATTTTCGACTAACGATATTTACAATCGGCAAAATGGCTCGTGTTAACGTGCACAGACGATATGAAACGACAGTGTATATACAAAATAGTGTTTATGCAATCTCACGTGGTTATTACGTGCATTACGCTATGATCACAGAAGAAATCAGAGCAGTTTTCAAAACGCCACTTAACAGTTAACCATGGTCGCGATGATTATGCGTCTCGGCACGGTGTACATACATACATAACGCTTTCGTTGCTCGTGTATTCGTAGTAATTAATCGAATCAACTCCTCTCCGAAAATTCAAAGAATCTCTCCTCTCTCTCCCCCACAAAAAATTTTTTCCCACGAGTCTACAATTTATTTATTTCATTTTATTAATTCATTTATGCTCCTCTAACCCGTTCACACACGAGACAAACTTTCGATATTGTTTACAATTTATACGATATCCTTTTCACTTTCGCATCTTCGTCCAGCCTTAACAAGCGCAGCCTCAAAAGAGAATTTATCAACGTATGCGATATCTCGATGCATGTTCAGTCAGTGTATTTACAAAATATTCGTATCGAGACGTTTCATCGATGTCGTTTCGCGTTCCCGTCCCTTTAAACTACCACGGGCCTCTTCGAAATTGGTTTCAACATCGCCGGCAAAATTGTCGGTTCTATGGAGATTTGCTGCTATAAGGGGACCTCGCTCTGATTCACCGGCCCGTTTCCTATTCTCGCGTTGTTGTTCAATTGCTTCGTTGTCGTGGTGGTGTTCTCTTTCGAGTCTTTGCTCGATATCATAGCACTCGAGTCCTTGTCGTTGTTACCTGTGGTCTGAGTCGATCGGGAAACGACCGACGCTGGTGGCTTGCCGTTCTTCTGATCCTTTATCTCCAGTTCGTAATCTGCAAGGGAAATATATTTTCCAAACTTGAAACTTTCCAATTAATCCTCCTTCAGAAGACGTTGAATCCCCCGGATGAATTTACTTTATTTCGGTTCAGATTCAGTTGTTGGATTTTAAATAATTCGATCTTAACCAACAGACTCTCTAATGCCACCTTGCAGAAGGTGGCAACTGTTGAGAAACGATGAAAAAGATTGTGAATGAATCGTTACGACGTAGCGAGGAAGGGTTGATTTCGATTTCAAAAATCATCTAATATATTTAACCTCTTGCGCTGGCAGCTGGTTCGCGGATCATAACGAGTGACCGAACGGTAAAAAATAATTCGTCGCTTTTTTTTTTTCGTTTGAACTCGTCGATATGGTGTCACTGGATAGAAATTACCAAGAAGTAATAAATTTATTATTTATTGTTGTCTATATTTAAATATATTTTATATATATTATATTTAAATATATTATAATATATTATATTTAAATATATTATAATATATTATATTTAAATATATTATAATATATTAAATATTAAATATAATATAATATAATATGATATATTTAAATATATTAAATACAAAATTATATTTAAATATAATATAATATATAATATATTTATAAAATATAATGTATTTAAATATATTAAATACAAAATTATATTTAAATATATTTTATATATATTATATTTAAATATAATATGATATATATTTATAAAATAATAATACATAAAATATGTATAAATATATTTTATATTAAATATATAAAAAATATTTAAATATATTTAAATACATTTTATATATTTAATAACAATAATAATATAAAATTAAGAAAATATTGCAACTTTGGGATACAAAATTCTCGACGTGCGTGGCAGGTCATTCCAGCGCAAGAGGTTAATTAATTATATCTTCAAGCCAAATGGTACTCACATTCGCTTTGGGTCGAGCAGTCTATAGTGGTGGCAATGTGTTTCTTCACAGCCTTGTTCTGATCGCAGGTAGCCGCGGTCAGCGTGACTGGCGCTATCATGCTCGAGGCATTGGTAGCCGTGACCGCCGAGCTTTTCGTCGTGCTGTACTTAGTTGGCATCATACTCTGACGCACGTTCCTTTCCGGTCGTATTAGGATGATGTACAACTGTCAGGGAGCAGTGAAAAAGTTGTTGTCAGTTTCAGTTTCACTCGTCTTAAATACATTAGAGATTATCCGCCAGTGTTAGGTTACCTTAGGACTGAAGAGACAGACTATAGTTACGGAGGCGGACAAGCTTATGGTGACTGACATCGATGTGATCCTCAGCGCGACGTTGTTTCCAGTTCCAAAGTACAGCGGCACGAAAGCCAACCATATCACACACGTGGTATACATGGTGAAACCTGCACACGGGGAACACATTTGCACACTTGCGATTGCTATTTCCACAGCGGACGTATTTATTCGCCAGCGGTACGCTCTGCTGCTGGTCGCAGCAGCTTATTGTGCTCTCGCGGACAAAAGATTAAGAATACGAGCGATGTTCCCTGCGCAAATCCGGCCGAACTATTCTCATTAATGTCTCAGGATTCTACTTGCATTCAAGCGCGGCTCGGGTTTATGACTTAACGGAAGTTCAGCTTTAGCTGCAGAATTATTGTTCGAACCCTTGTGTTTGAGTTATGTCCCAACTTGTGCTTGTGTTCCCAAAAAGCTGTTTGAACCTGAATTTCGTCGCGCGTGCGCCGTTGATGAAATTTTCTACCGAGAAACTAACATTAACATGTTCTGCTAAAAGCTCGACATTGTTCTATCCATGGAGTTTAAGGATGTGTTACCTTAGTCAAGATTCGAAAAGCATTGATGCATTCATTGCTAAAGAAAGTATTATTTCTTACGCTGTTCACCAATTTTGTTTCATCTGCCGAATCGAAACGAACGAGAAATTCCCCGTAACGAAAACGCAACAAGTTGCGAAATGGAATCAAAGAGATGTTTGAAAATTCAAAGGTGCACATGCACGCTCACCAATGTGTTTGCTCTCGTTGAAAGCTTCTGGGATCTTCCTGGTGAGAACAGCGTACACAGTGCAAACTACGATCAGCATGATGGGGTAGGCAAAGGCGATCATGTAACTGGCGTCGATGTAACTGTTGCAAACGAGCAAGTTGTCCTCACGGGTTGGATAGTGGTACATCGCCCTGGCCGGGTCGATTATCATCCAGACGCCGTTGATTAAAATTTGCACGAACACCAAACCGAAGCAGATGATTAGCTGCGATCGCGGAGATATGAAGGAGGGTCTCTTGGCGCTGTGCTTGCTCGCGTTGAAGATCCTCGATATTCGATTCGTCTTGGTTAGCAGCGCCGCGTAAACCACGGTGAAACAGAAGCCTGCGGTGAACCTGCGAAGCAAATTAGCCGTCGTCTCTGGTAGTTACAGATTTACGATAAAGAGCGTAATTGGTACGCGTGAATGGTGAAAAATTGTCGATACTTTGAGCTGTTGTTATCACACGAGAACCTGTGGACCTCATTTTCAAGCGTAAAGCTTTCATCGTGCAGTGGGCGAGAAAGTAGGAGCATTCTTTATATCTGAAAAATTGCGAGAATTCAGTCAGCGAAGAACGTTGAACAATTTTTTTCACGAATCGATCCACCATGGTTTTGGAATTTGGAAATTGAAAATTTCCTCTGTCAGCACAACGATCTTTAAACATTTTCTTTTCTACAATTTTATCGAACATCAAAGTATTGGCAATTTTCTATCCAAATTAGTAAAAATTGTATAAATAATTTCATTTTCTGGGAAACTGACTCCACGAGAATAATCTGCAGTTGCCAGAATAGTGATGACAATAAGTTTCTTCATAAAATTTATTCTGCGAAGCGAAAAAACATTCTGCGCATATTTTGCATTTCTCGAATTTTACGTTAAGAATTTACGTACGCGCGATTCAGTTTTGCTCGCTGTAACTTTTTATTGGATTTCTAAACGGATAGAAAGACTTCTTAACGTTCTCCGTTGCTTTTGACGAGGAAAAAGAGACTTTGGAATATATTTTCCCCCTTCGTCAAAATATCTCTACATCAAAGCAACTCTTTGTCGAAGTTGTTGGAAATTTCTCGGAGAGGAAACGAGATCGGAGCGTGCGATGGCGAGTGTTGAAAATTGGGAACAGGTGTAACTTTGACTCGTTGGCTAGATTCACCGATTCTGCTTTACATTCTTCTTTTGATCCCCCCGCCAATCGTGTTGCGCGCAATTCACGTTCGTCGATGAAATTTCGTTCCCTCGAAATTTATCAGCCTCACAGGAATCGATTGTCCGTTCCGTGTTCTCCTGTTAATATCAATTCACCGATTCGGTGACTCACTCTCTCTCACGAGGGAATTGAATTTCTTTTTTTCTTTTTCTCGTTGGCCACCACACAGTCGCTTTTTCTTCCAAAAGCCACGTTCCACGTTCTTCAATCCCTTACCTTTGAATGCCGCAAACAATGTCCGTCGGTCTGAGAACGAGGGCGAAAGTGACGAGGTAACAGAGCAGAATCCCAGACAGCAGCACGTACGATAGCTCGCGACCAGACGCGCGAACTACCGGCGTGTCGTTGTGCTTCAGAAACACGCCGCAGACGAACAGCGTTATCTATTTGACAGAGAAAACAGTTTTCGCTGGTTCAAAAGGTGAGATGCCTTGTTTTCTAATTTTCTTTTCTAAAGAAGAAGACGAGGCAAAGTAAAGTACAGTAAAGAAGAAAGGGCAGAGTACAAGGGAAGAACATAAAATTTGTCTACAGTTGAATTTATCCGCTTGATGAATCTTGTTTCGTAACAAATGCCAAGCGTGATACACTGCATAACGTGGGGGAAGCCTCGTGAATTTAACGACGTTGGCTCGGCATCGTCGTTGCATTCGTACAATCGAGTAAACTTGAATTTTTTAAGGTGCAATTTCGTGCTGACATTTTGATATTTAACGAGAAGCAATTGGAGAGGGTTAAAAAGCCGGGATCGATAATGCAGCCGTACGGTTGTAGGACACAGCACCGGTTGTACACCGTCGTCAAAATTACATATCACGCGGCCGAGAGCAGTCGGCTAATGATTATTTCATCGTGTGTATACGTTAGATTGCGGCATGTAACCGCCGTTCGTAGAGCAACCGATCCTTATCGGGCCAACCTTACCTCTCCTTCGTTTCACCCCACGATTAAACGTGGCAGAGTCGATATCGTATAATTATATTCAACGTTCCTTTCGATGCTCTTTGCAAAACCACTCGCTCACGTTCTCTCGCTGAAAGGGAGAATTGTATAATTCTCTTTCGATCGGAGTTACACACTCACCAGAATCCCCGTGGCAGAGAAAGCCATTGCCCCTATCGCCCATCCGCTCTCCGGACGCAGGAACTCCTCGGGGATGTCACGACAAGCAGAATGCGTGTCGTCTGGCACCGTTCCTTGACGACAGGGTATACATTGGGTCTCGTCCCTCGGATGTCGTATCTGTTCAACAGAACATACAAAAGTTTCACGAAAAACTCGGCCAAGCAGGTAGAAGGCTATTTTATTCTCTTTCCTCGAGAGAAAGGGAAGCTGCTTGAGGGTGCAGGACACTGCGACGGGCCTAAAAATTACGTATACTTTGGAAGGCTAGAAGAAAACTACATATTTGATTTACATGAGTTTTTGTGGTTTATTTTAACACATTATGAACACTATAAAAAGCAACATTAAAAAAGAGAAAGAAAAGAAGGCTATTATTTAGCTTTTTAAAGGCAATCTTTCACACAACTTTTTTTTACACTGCCTATCGGTGTGCATGATTCCAGCGAAACAGGATTAACTGCAACAAAAAGGCAAAAATGTATCAAAAGTAAACAATATTCTCTAGGGATTGACGATCCAACATTTTCATTTTTGTGAAAATTATGAAAACAGCAGCTATTTGTTTTCGATTTATCAAATTTATGCCAAAAATTTCTACGTTATTTGTTTATATTTTTCGAAATTGTTACAAATTAAAAAATGTTCGATCGTCAATCCCTAGTAAATGTTACGCTAAAGATACGTACCAAGTTTAACAGTAATCGGTTGGTTCGATACCGAGATATCTTGAATACCGTTTCTAAAAACCTAGTTTTGAGAAAAACGCTTAAGTTTCAGAACGTCATTTTCTATGTGTATCCTTTACTTACTTTTTTTACTTGTATATCGCGGTTCACAGTTCTTACAATTCACAACTAAATTGAATCCAAGTCCTCTGATGTTCGACTCACCAAAAGTAATATTTGAATCACACGATTTACACTTTATGATACTGCTTCAAGTTGTAGACAGTGATACAAATTCAATTGTTCTGTATCAGCAGGATTTATTATTATAAAATAAGTCGTTTTAAAGGTTAGAACCTTTGTATCTTATTTCTAAGACTTCAAACTATTTAAAACAAAAGAAAAAAATCGATTTTTTGAAAATTTCACACTGTCCGCTTAACCTCTTGCGCTGGAATGACGCACGTCGAGAATTTTTTGTTCCAAAATTGTAATATTTCCTCAGTTTCAAGTATATTTAAAACAACATAGGCAAAGCAAACAATAAATTTATTGCTTCTCAGTAATTTCTATCCAGTGATCGTCGTACCGACGAGTTCAAAAAAGAAAGCGACGAATTATTGTACACGGTTTTGGCCACTCGTTACGGTCCGCAATCAGTTGCCAGCGCAAGCGGCTAAAGTGAAAGTTTCAAAAGGACGTGTTTCTAAACGAAAGGCTGCGTCAACGTCGTTTTGCGTGCGTCGTTATCCTCGAGCTAATCCACTAAAAAGACACCATCCGTTTATTTGTTCGTCGATCGAGAAGAGAAAGTAATACCTGGAAAGGGGATCCCTTTTATTGAACGTAGACACTGTCCACGTTACGTGGGGACACCCGCGTATTTATATGCGAGACGTATATCTTCGGCGAAGGATATCTGGCGGAAGAGCTCTTTCATTTTGAACAAATGAAATTTTACTACCATGTGCACGTGTGGTAAGTGAATTCGGCGACGAAACGATCGAACACACACACACACACACACACACACACACACACACACACACACACACACACATATCGTTCGTAAGATAAACGAACGCGGTCCGGTAGGCTAAATATCGAGCTGACAAACCTGATATTGAGTGCAGTTGAAGCAGTGCCAACAGCATTTCTCACCCTCGACGTATTTCTTTGCCTGGCCGACCTCGCAGGGTAGAGAGCACACGCTTTCGGGCGGCTGAGGATGTCCAAGTTTAAATTGGATTTCTGCAAGGAATATGCGAATAGATAGCGAGAGAGGGGAAGGGGGATATATCCCTCGTTCAATTTCACCGAGAAGAAAAAGAAGACGGTACGAGGAAAACGGGGGATTGCGAAACGGCCAATCCCCGTGGCTTACCGGACTTATTCCACTTTAATTCACCGTTAACGTACTCGCCGACCCGCACCCACTTGTACTTGCCGGGCTTGATTTGTTTGAAGTGTATGATGTTGTATCGCGCCGGGCCGTCGCCGTTCTGGTCGAACTCGAACTTGTCGCCGCTCAGACCTTGAACCCGAGGGCGTACGAAATCGTGTCAATGAAGAGCTCTTGCCTTGAACAGCTCGGAGGACGGAGAATGTTAAGTGAAGGGTTAAAGTCCATTCTTCATCTTACCTTTAAAATTCACCTTTCGAAGGTACTGCAACAGCTCCGTACCCTTGTTGGGTTTCATCGTTTCGCAGAGTCCAGGTTTACCGTCGCAGAGGTCCTTGTGCATGTCTCTGGGAAACACGAGTCAATAAGACAAAATGATCGAGATCACGCGTTACGACAGGCAGGCTCGTTCGAAAGAAAAGGGAAAGGATTAGGAAAGATCGAGTTACCGAAAGGCGTGGCCGAAGGCCATGACAGCGTCGGAGACGAATTGCAGCTGATCCTCGAACACCGTGTTCTGTTTCGTCAGGCGCTCTTTCGTCGTGCACGGTCTCTTGTACTTTTGATTGTACGGTGTTACGGATGCGTTCGGGTATCTACATTGAAAGTGGTCTTCCCAGAATTCTAAAATCATTCACGATACACACTGCACTACGATACGTCATCATCTTTCCTTCTGTTGAAAGATTCCGATAAATTCCGATAAATGCGTGAAAAGATCGTGTCATACAATGATTAACCTCTTGCGCTGGCAACTGGTTCACGGACCATAACGTGTGACCAAACCATGTACAGAAATTATTAAGAAATAATAAATTTATTATTTGTTGTTGCCTATATTTAAATATATTTTGTATATATTGTATTTAAATATATTTTATATATATTATATTTAGATATATTTTATATATATTATATTTAAATATATCTTATATATTTAATACAAAATATATTTAAATATATTTTATATATTTAACACAAAGTATATTTAAATATATTTTATATATTTAACACAAAGTATATTTAAATATATTTTATATATTTAACACAAAATATATTTAAATATATTTTATATACTTAATAATAATAATAATAATATACCTAAAACTAAGAAACTGTTGCAACCTTTGGGATACAAAGTTCTCGACGTGCGTGGCACGTCATTCCAGCGCAGGAGGTTAAACAATGAAAAATTTTGCTCGAACGAGGATTGTGTCCACCCGTCATTATTTCATTCTGTTAATCGGCTGAACAAGTTGCAAGTTCTAGCGACGATAGACGGATCACGCATCAGCCTAAAATTCGCAGCTCGCGCGAAGTTAGAATTGGAGAAGTTTGACGAAGACCTCGCGTGTCTCGCTTACCAACGAACCACGGATTCCTCCGGTTGTTCTCGACGGTCAGATTCAGGAAGTATTCCTCGAAACCCTTGACAGGATTGGCTTGAGGTTGGACTGATAGGGTACCTTCCACTTCCGGCTCGTTGCCATTACTAACCAAGCCTCTGGCGCTCCACCCGTCGCTCCCGATCCACGAGAACGCGCCGGTCGCGTTGCAACGTCGAACCGCTCTCATCACACCGGCCACTTCTTGATCCGAGCCGAATATTATGCACCCTTAACAGACAGATGAAAATAATGACAAAGTTGATCGATACACTTCTACGAAATGTCTGCGATATCTTCTGATCTCAGCAGCCTCTCGAAGGATCAAACATGGCCAAACGAAGTCAAACGATCGACAAACTTGCGCATACTACATGGGGGGGGGGGGAGATATTAAACAAAATTTTGAACCCACGTGGTTTCTGATAAATTTTTCGTTACTTTGGGAATTAATTTATTATTTTAGAAATTAAGAAAAACTGAACAAGTTCGAGTACGACGATATTAAGCTCTTTGTATACCTGCATGCTACCTCTCTAACTGAAAATCTTATTCTCAAATCTCTGTCATCACATCACGTATTTTACGTCTTAAGATTAGAGTGACTAGATAAACAAGGAAGAAATACAGGAAGAAATTCTGAACGATGAGATTTCCGCTGTTCCACAATCAAATCTGCGATTAAATCTGATAATATACGATTGAACATCGATATCACGAAGTTATCATTTCCCGATCATCGTAGGATAGAATACCCATCCGCTTTGATCCGATTACTTCAATTCCCAAACGAGTTGATTACAAGTTCTCGAGGCGAGAGGATGGAACCAGGTCACTCGTAGTCCGCGGGTAGATTCTCCGTTCTGGCGATCAGTCCAAAAATTAGCTCGCGGCACAAAGGGGTTTTCCGGTCCAGCTGCTCCATAAATAACAGCAACTCGTTTCGAGTATTCTGCGAAATTCTACCAACAATGGGGGGGGGGGGGAAGATGTTCTTGTTCTTCTATTTTTTCCTTCTTTGTTTCGCGTCGAGTCAAACGAAACCCAACGGAAGAAATATCTTACCTTGGTACGCGGGGAACTGGAATTTAATTTAATGCGATTGCCGTGTATTTCTCTTTCGCCGCCCCTTTTTCGTCTTCGACGCTTCTCAGTATCTATTCATCCGTCCCGCGCGGGGATTAATTAATTTTTCCCCGCTAAAAGAGAGCAAAGCCCATCGGAACGTCGTGAGCTTCGAGAGCCACCTGTCACCTCGTTGCAATATCTACACGCGTAGAATGTTTTCCAGACGTTTCTCTGAGAGAGACGTCGTACGTCCTATGACCGAGGAACGATAAACTCTCACTACTTTCTGAAAACAATTCTCCCAAAACAGAGACACTTGTGCAAGAATGTGACCGATGAAAAATGAAAAATGGCAATCAGCCTTTTATTTATTCAGGCAGCTTCGACTTTGCTACGGCAACCACTTTTTTTTTCGGTCATCAACGCCTCGATAATTTTTTTTTTTCCATATGGGGGTTTAGAGTCGCATCGACTACGATGGTCTTTAGCGACGTGCTGGAATTTTTTCTTTACATCTGGCCGAGTAGTTGGGTTTCCTTTAGGTAGTTGATAATGTTTCTTTGTTGTTTCTGGCAGAGTTAGAGTTTAATCCGTATTTTCAGCATTCATGTGGCAGGTGTTGGGTGGTGATTTATTGGTTGCCGGCGTTGCAGAAAGGTGGTTCTGTTTTGCTTAGGAGGTGTTACGGCAAGCTCGACGGTGAACGTTGGTTGCTGCCCGCTTCGCTCGTCGCTCTCTCGTCGTGCCTTTTACAGCCTCCGGAGAGATGTTTTATGNTAAATACTTTTATTTCTCAACTAATACAAAGTGACTGAATTGAGTGAGTGAATGAGTGACCGACGCGGAATCACTCCTCTGACTGATTTAGTGTAAAATGAAAGTGAATGATTGGACTGCTTGTGACTCCTTGAGTGGTCTACGTGTGCATTTAATCGTCTGTTCGCTACGTGAATCTACGTCGCCTTTAGAATTAGTAGGCGACTTTCTGGAGCCGGCCAAGGTGCCTTGTTTCCTAGACAAGGATTTGTTTATGCCCTACCGAGCCTTTCCACATACTCTCTCTCTAAGGCCAGAGAAAATGTCCTTAGATGAGAGGTATGTTAGCACATCTGGCAATTTTCGGCAGGGCCGAGGCTTTGTAGGAATTGACCTGACTGACGCCTCGGAGGGTTCTGTTTTGCGCCAGAACACTAGTTGATAACGTTTCTTTGTTGTTTCTGGCAGAGTTAGAGTTTAATCCGTATTTCGGTATTTTCTGCACTCATGTGGCAGGTGTTGGGTGGTGATTTATTGGTTGCAGGCGTTGCAGAAAGGTGGTTCTGTTTTGCTTAGGAGGTATTCGTGTGTGATCTTGGAGTGTCCGATTCGAAGTCTAGTCATAGCTATCCTTTCTTTTCTGCTTATATTGTTGTTTGGTATTTTTTGGTTCTATTTGTCCTAGTCCAAATTCTGTTCAATTCTTCTCTTTCAGCTTTGGTCGTTGAAGCTAGTAGGTTTCGGTGTGGGATTCGTTTGTTCGGTCTGTTGTTACTTCTTTGGCTAAGGAGTCGGCTTTCTCGTTTTCTTCTATTCCTTGTTGGTGTGACGAAATCCAGGTGATTATTATTTGTTTATGGTCGTTAGTAAGTTCCTGGTGTATGTTTCCTGAACCATTTCTATGACTTTTGATGTTTGTTATCGCGTTTATCGAAGTCAAGGAATCTGTGTAGATTACCTCGATAATTTCCCATCGTGTGAATCTTGATTTTTAGACTTAGTCATTGAAGGATCATTGACGATCAGTTAGTTTACAACATAGAGACTCTGACGATCCTATCAAACTAGTCCAACTCCGTGGGAAGTAGTCGAGCATTTATTTTTTTGGAATTCTCTCGTTCCCTCGTCACTGTCTTCGCAATAGCGCCGCGCGCTGTTGACACGACACTCGAAAGCAAACTCATCATCATCATCATCGCAGTCGTTGCTTTGCAGAAGCACGATCAAGTTCAACCTCGTTTGCTTTTTCGCCACGCTTCTCAAACTTTCGTGCATTGTACAGACATTGAGTCGGTTCTTTGTTATTAATTTTTTCGTTTGAGTCTTATTTCTCTCCGATGTCGTCCAAGATTATGCATCGCTCGTTTCCTTCATTGGCATTTCATCTTTGATAAATGCAAATTTCGAGGAGGAAACGAGAATCGTGAACGAAACAAGGTCACGGTGTTATAACAGCTGGAAATGTTGATTAGATTTCTAGATGGGAAAACATCTTCACGGGGGTTTTCTCAAGTCAAATTAGCTAAAACGCCGATGTATTTTCTTTCGTGCAAATTGCCCCGTTAATTGTCCTACTTGCGCTCTTCCACGCTCTCGATCTTCCATTTCCTTTCTCACGGTGAGCTGTTTTTTAATGAATTTCCACGTAATCTGGATCCTCGTAAGAACAATCCCGCGAGGAACGTGCACCGTTCCACACAGTCGCGATTCTTCTTTCACACCGACGTGAAGCTCGAAGCTCGGACGAGTTTTAAGGAAAGAACAGCAGACAGAGCCAACCGGATGGAGATTCGAGATTGCTCTTCGATCAGGCTTCATCTAGGTAACTGCAAGAAGATATGTAAGAAGAAGACGAAACAGTATCCTTCGTGAAACAGAACTGGCCAAAGATTATCCTGTCTTTCCTTCTGTTTCTGGAACAAACCGTTGCAACTTCGGACTCTCGTGTCGATGAAAGAACAAACAACAAGGCTGAGGAGAAGCAGAGAGAGAGAGAGAGAGAGAGAGAGAGAGAAAGAGAGTGCTTTGATAGTGAGAAACTTTGGATCATGAGTGCCATTTAAACGTCGTGGAATGCAAATTGATACATTTACTCTTCCTAGTGTTTGTTCTGTGTAGAATGGTGCGATTGATGAAACCAGGATCAAAGGATTGAACGCTTCGAGAGAAATTCTAAATACTAGCTTCAATCTTTCTTGGATTTTTGTTGCAATTTCCTTGGAAATTGTGTGTGTGTTAATATAAACATATTATGGTACATTATATGTATTTCCATCAAATCGAAGGACAAACTTTTCTTTCCACTCAAGGGGAAACTAACTAGAGACTCGTTATTACCACTCGAAACAGGCCACGCAATTTCTTCGACGTTTAAGACGTGAAACGGAGACGTCTTTCAGCGGAGACGCGCGTTTATGAAATTTACCAGCTGAAAATGAACATTCGTTCGTGCAGCTTCGCCACGTATCTCGAGGAAACGTCTATCGAGAAAATTGCGATGGAGATTTACGCCTCGACTGAACCTTGACTTTTTTTTTCTGTTCGCGGTACCGCCGCCGCTTTGACGCCGCGCGAGATAGTAACTGATGACTTTCTCATGGGCCTTTATTTCCAGCGTGCGTGAAAGACTAGAACGAGGATAATATTGCCATGTCGGGTAGGGGCAGACCGAATTTTTAAACATTTTTATGTCACAGTGTTTCAGGCACTCGCTTGCCACATCTGTGAACAGGCAGATATTGAAAACGACGACCCCGTCGATTGTCGCGTTAAAAATTCCATGATAAATTCGTGCGTGACGTACTCTTCCAAACATGCAACTTACGAGATCATCTTTCTCGAGGTTTGCCTTTAAAAAATGATGCACATCATGCACGCAGAATTCGAGCCTTTTTACCTGTGTTTTCGTAACGTAACACGGCGTGCCCAACCTGCTTAGAGGGCCCGCAAATTTTTGGAGCAACAGGGGGGCGTATATGCACTTCTTTAATTCACATTGATAAAATATTCTTAAATATTGCTATACATTTTTTTATAGTAATATTTATTATGTATTTTAGATCTTAGCTATTATTTATTTTATGTTTATTATTTATTGTTTATTTATTTATTATTTATTTGTTGTTTATTTATTTATTATTTATTTATTGTTTATTTATTTATTATTTATTTTATGTTACCCTGTACTTGAACAAGCTGTCACCGTTTCGACTGTGTCTATTTATTATGTATTTTAGATCTTAGCTATTATTTATTTTATGTTTATTATTTATTTATTTATTATTTATTTTATGTTACCCTGTACTTGAACAAGCTATTACTTATTTTATGTTTATTATTTAATTATTATTTATTTATTATTTATTTTGTGTTATCCTGTACTTGAACAAGTTGTCACCGTTTCGACTGTGTTTCTGTCTTCAGAAAAAAACCTTTTGAGAAAGCCTTGGAAAAAAAAAGCGTTTAATGTTTTCCGTGAGTTTGTTCGAAAGTGGGAGTGCGCAGCGTGGCTCGTGAAAGTATTCGAGTGTTTTGAGATGTCTGGCCAAGGTACCTGGTGGAGCCAACGTTTTCCACAGTTACTACGCGAGCGTCTAGAGCTTTTGCACGAGCTTCGGCGGCTCTCCAGTTTCTCTAGAAGCTCAGGGAAATTACAACAGCTTGCTATTGCTAGGAGAGAAGTTCAAACGAAACAAACACAAAAGTAATATCGTGAAAAGAGAAACTCAGAGTTAGAATCTGGCGAAAAATCTTCTGATCTTCGAACGTCTCTTCGAGACGTATGCACGTGATTGCTTCCCGACAATTCCACCTCTGCACGCTTGAACGTTTGGGAAACTTTGTTCGATTTTTCGATACGTCGAACTTCTCTTTTAACATTGTTCACGGAGCACATTCGTTGCACGGAGCAAACCGTAAATGCATAAATTTCATTCAAATCGTAATTTTAAAAAACGCATAATCATAAATCTTAAAAGTTGAGAAAGACGGGTGTAGTATTTCATAGACTATTAGTATTCATATTTGGGCATGGAAATTTATCGCGCAACGTCATTGCAAATTATAGCCGATACTAAAAATAACTTATCTTGCACTCGTCTCGTTAACAAATCGCTCGTTGAAGTAGAGAAGGTTCTCGACAATTTCTATTGGCTCTAAGATTTAGTTTTAAATTGACTCGCGACGCTCGTTTCCGCTTTGCAAAGGGGAGAAACAAACGCGGGGAGATCCGATTCCTGCCGGAAGTTACAAGTCGATGAAATTTCAAGGATTCGCGTTTTATCCCCGGGGAAAGTATCCGATCGTCCTACTTCCCTTCAATTTTGATGACGAAACAGGAGCCGAAACAGTTACGATAAGAATCTCTGCCAAAAAGACTCGCTCCTTTATTTCTTTTATTTCACCGGGAGAGGCATCTTTGTCTCGCGTTTATTCTTTCGGTTGAAATTTCACGTCGATCGATCCTTCTCCCTTCTTTCGATCCCTTTTCGTTGGAACTTTATCAAAATCGTTCGATTGAAATTTTTTTTCTCTTTTGTTTGAAAAAATAAAGTTTCGAATTGTTTTTAATGAAAATGTCGGACACTTGTCACTAGGATATTTATTTTAAATAAAAATGTAGGATATAGAGGGATTTTTGACACTTAGGTCAAAATGACCATTTGAATATTTTTGTTCAACAGATGTACACTTTTTAGATGATGAAATTGTAAAAATATTTGGAATGATTCTTAATAAGTAATATTATCTATTATTACGAAGTATTATAAAGATACAAATAATTATTGTTGTATGAATAATTACTATTTCTAAGTATTACAAAGATTTTCTGTTTCTTTCCGATGGAAATTTCATGCTTCACTTATTGATAGTATTAGTGTTAAGCTAAGCATCGGTCGCTTGATAAAACTTGCGACAAAAATAAGATTCCTACGCGCGTTTAATTTTGGAAGGACGTGCATTTATGCCATTTTTTTCAAACGGGCGTTCGATTTTCTCGAATGATACGAGCTATTCGCGTGCTGGACGACATGCGACCGGAGAATCGATAGCTACGTATATTTGGAGACGCGAGAGATTTTCAATTTACGATCCGCCGCTATCGAGTTGACCGTTGCCAGTAAAAATCACGGGGTTCCGAAATTGTTTGTCGTTGGATCTTTTAATCTGTTTTCGCGATTTACTTTCGCTGTGTACTCGGAGATAAGCGTTTCTTCCATTTTATCTCGCCCTGGTCACGCTTCTCCCCCCCCCCGGGTGTTTTAACGCTACGAAATCGTTGCGAATGAAAATCCGATTTTTACAACCTTCATGCTTCTTTCTCTTGCGTTTTTCTATCTCGTTCGCGGGGATAAATCAAATATTTTTCACCCGATAGACGTACCAATCCACACACGTATACAGTTGTTTGCAAACTAATGTTAAAAATAGCTTACCTCGTGCTCTCGGTTTAGTCAGCAATTTCAACACGATATTGTCGTAAGCGGTCTCCTCGGCAACGCCGGAATCCTTCACCAATTTCTCCTTAATCGCGATGCATATGTTGTTCTTTCCTAGCAGCTCCTCCAGCTCCTCGAACGCCTGCAATGAAAAAACGAAGGCAGCGCCGTCGCGATCAAAATCGAATTTCTCGTTTTTTCAAAAAACTTTCCACTCCCTTTGTTTCTTATTAGTTTGCCTTGCGATTGGTCTTAGGCAGAAGCTTTGAAACGAGGAGACGAAACGGAAAGACAGAGAGAGAAAGAGAGAGAATAAAGTTTCATTTCAAAGGGACGACAATGCGCAGCTGAGCGAATCAGCGACTTTTAATGGAAAAAAAAAAAAAAAAAAAAAAAAAAATAAACGCGACGTCAAAAAAGTTGATATCAAGATCGAGTCTCAATCTTTATACCCAGAGTTCATTTCTCCAACGATCCCTTCGACACGCGAGGAAAGAGAGAAACAAACTCGAGAGAGTTAAAAGAAAAAAAAAAAAAGAGAGAGTTAAAAGAAAAAAAAAAAAGAACGCGAGAGAGTGCAAAAAGATGGATAGCCTCGTGTAACGAAGATCTAACTTCGCCTGATCGATTTCGAATCCATTCCCAGAGGGAGGATAGGGAAGGGGGTGGAAAAGAGGAAGAGGGAAGTAGTCGCGCCGCCGCACGGTCGCTCGTTATCGATTTCCGTTTTACTGGTAAACTTCGCCATCTCCGCGTCCTTCCCGCGTCCATCGATCCGCCATTACACGTGTCTGATGTTGATCTCTCGACAGATTGCCACGATCCGATGATTCGACCCGGTGGAAATAAATTACGCGTTAGCGCCCGGCCCCGGTTAATATCGGCTCTTAGACGTCAAACACAGCCGCGCGCGTCCATCCCCCCTCCCCCCCCCTGAGATTAATTTCTCTGTCGTCGTTTCGTTCAAACAACAGTTATAAATTTGACGTTACGTTGCCGATGTGCCGGCAACGTGTCCAACGTTTAATTACACACGCAGAGATAAAACCGGGATATACTGATTCTCGCGAAGATTTTTACCGGTTCCCCGTGTGTACGATCGTCGTATGTGTATTCATCGTGTTGTACTACTTAGTCTGTTAGTCCGGCGACATAAATCGTGCGATGTTATAGTACGCCGCGACATCGCGAGTCGGAATTATTTTGAGAGGATCGAAAGGAGCACTAACGATCGATTGTTCTTTATTTTCACTTTTCGTCATGGAGTAGGGTAGAATAATTAAAACAGTTGGAGCAGTTAAAAAACAGTTGGTTTAATTTGGTGAGATAGAATAGTTGTTTAATTAGTTATAGAATAAATGTATTCTAGTCTGGGATAAATATAATTAAATATAGTTAAATTATAGTAAATAAATAAAATAGTAAATGAATGAATAAGTAAATAAAATTATAAATAATATAATTAAACAGTAAATATATAACTATTTAATTAGTGGAATTTATGTAGAATTCATATAACATTAGTAGAACATAGAATTTATATAGTTAGTTAATTAATAGAACAGAATAGTTGGAATAGAATAGAACAGATAGAACGATTAGTCGATTAGTAGAAGAGAATAGTTATTTAATTAGTAAAATAAAAATATCTTATTTTAATAGAATAAATATAATTAAATATTAATTAAATATATAACCATTAAATTAAATACTAATTAAACATATAACATTTAATTAGCATTTATTTAATAGAATTTATATAGTTTATGTAGAATTCATATAAAATTAGTAGAATATAGAATTTATATAGTTAGTTAATTAATAGAACAGAATAGTTGGAATAGAATAGAATATATAGAATGATTAGTTGATTAGTAGAAGAGAATAGTTATTTAATTAGTAGACTAAATATACTAATTTTAATAGAATAAATATAATTAAATACTAATTAAATATATAACCATTAGCTATATAATATATAACCAATAGTTATTTAATTAGTAGAATAAATATACTAATTTTAATAGAATAAATATAATTAAATACTATTTAAATATATAACTATTTAATTAGCATTTATTTAATAGAATTTAGTTTATGTAGAATTCATATAAAATTAGTAGAACAGAGAATTTACATAGTTAGTTAATTAGCAGAATGAAATAGTTGATACGGAATTACCATCCACGAGAACGTTTGCGTCAGAACATTTCCCTTGTGCAGTTTCATCGGGCGAACGCTCGTAACTGAAAAATTATGTACACGTAATGTGTCTAATCACCGACTCGAGCACCGAAGTAGCGTAGCCAGATGATTCGTCCGCCAGCGATTGGTACGTTACTCGCGCGAGTGTTGTATTTTTTCCCTCCCGGAATAACGGGGACGCATTTTCGCGAGAATTCGCCGGCAATAAATGGGAGGGGAGATAAATGGGAGGAATAAACACGTGGAACGGGTAATTTACGGGCGATCATTTTTCTCTCGCCGGTCGAATCAGCCTCTAACGATAATGATAATGCACGCGCGGCGCCACGGCCACGCGCGGATAAGCGTTGTATCGGAATAAAGCGTCGCAGCGCGAAGGCTAGGGAGGAGGAAAAAAGAAAAAAAAGAAAAAAAAAAAAAAAGAAAAAAAGGAGAAAAAGAAGTGAAGAAACGAGGAAAGACGCCGCGTTTTTTCCATGCGTTGCTCAGCGGAAGCAATTCGAGCGTTGGCAGCCACGGGGAGCGGAGAAATCACCGGAGGTCATCGGTTAGAAGATTCAAAAGAAAATTGTCAGGCCAACGTCAACGCCGATTTACGCCCTCTATCTTATCATTTTCTTCTTCGCGAGAACGTAACGGCATTTTTTTCTTTTTCTCGGCGATTCTCTTAAATCACGAAACGAGAGCGAGAGAACGGGGAGGTAGGGAATTTCGATAATTTCTACTCGCTCGGAGCGATTTAGAACGATATTATGCGCGGTTAAGGGAACCGGAGATTAATGAGAGACGTTATTGCGGAAACGTGACTTGCCGAAGTTTCTTCTTTTTCTTTTTTTTTTTTTTTTTTTTTTTCGGAAAGTCTTAATGCAACACGTGGGGCCGCGAGGCATTTGCATTTTCCTGTTGTTTCTCACGCGAAAATGTTAAATCCGGGAAACTAATATCGGAGACAAACGCTGCAGTCGCGGGTTAATTTGGTTTTAACGATGCGCGGAAAATGAAACACAAAAAACAATCAAAGGAAATGCACGAACCTTCGGGAAAAGGGAGTGTGTTTGACGATGAATGGACGTTCGTGGAGTGAAATTGAAATTTTTAATAAATAACTCGTTGTCTCGAGGAATGAGAATGAATCGAGGCTCTGAGATCTTACTTATCAAAATTGGAATAATTGAAGAATTTCACTGTTTCATTATTCGAATAATTTTAACCACGAATGTTCACGGTGTCTCGTTTTAGAGAGATTTTTTTCTCATACGAAGCACATAGAAAATAAAATTTTAGACTAACATCTTGAAAGTAGTCTTCGTATTGCCACTATCTGTATCAGATCAGATACTGATGAACTAGTATCTAAAAAGGTATCTTTAATTAATATAAATATATTAATATTAATATAAATATATTAATTAAAGTATCGTTTCATTGTAAAAATTGTTTTAATATTCTCATAAATAGTATAAATTACGTTGAACTGGTAAAAAAATATGTGCGGCCCAGAACAAACTTTTTGTTGGCCAATGAGGCCTAGAAGACCTAAAATATTGGATACCCATGCTCTAAAAAGAAAAAAGATAAGTTACGTGTTTTTTTTTTTTTTCGGTAAATGGTACCTGATATTTCAGAAAAAAACGAGGAAAGAAACGTAATTGTTGTTCACGGCAATAATATTTAGTGCTTTTGATGTCAGCTAAATCTTCTGTTCTTTCACATCGACAGCGAACAGAGTTTGCGTACAGAATGTAACGCGTGATCTTAAACCGTTTAGAAGAAAATGAGAAAATCGTTCGAACTGATATCACTGTGCGTGTGTGTACGACGGATGAAGGACGTGCATGTGTCATTGCTGAATCAATGGCAACATCTGGGTCAATGGCGCTCCCCTCCCCCCTCCCCCCCTGTTGGTCACACACCTGTCCATTGTTCCGTAGCGGTGATGTACGTGACGAGTCGCGATAAATTTGCGAGCAAAGCCGACAGTACGCGCTGCAGTTTGCTCGCGAAACTGCTGCAAGCTGGTCTCTCCGAAAAGAGAGAGAATCGAGAGGCCACGGGCAACGCAGCGCGTCCGCGAAGGGGAAATTACTATACGTACGTACAAATTACAAATCTGGCCGAGCGCGAGCACGCTTCGGGAGATTTTATTTGAAAAACAAATCAAATTCACGTATGCAGCCACGTGAAACAATCTGTCGCGATCGATCGTGATCTCGCTGGTGAACACGCAACCGGTTATCGCGGGGGCGGGATCGCGCTCTGTACGTTCACGGCCCTTCCCCCGTTGTTTTCAATCGGTATATCGATCGTCCGTTCGAGCTTTGGATCGCGCGAGAATTCCATTTTCACCAGTCGGCACGTGCAGTGGCAATTTCGCGCCATTCGGGACAGTCTGGTTATTACAGACGCTGAAGGGGAGAGAAGAAAAAAAAAAAAAAAGAACGAGAAATGGCTCACCGAGACAAGCACCGATCTTGTCGAATATTTATCAACTCATCGCGTTGACCGTGAAATTTTTATAAGACAGCCGCGCTCGTCGCCACCAGAGCGTCGTTTAATTTTAATTTCCTCTCTCCTCCTCCACGGCGCGATACTCGATAAATACAACGAGTTTATATTCATCTGGACGTAAGATCGGGCTTTCGCGCGACACGTGAATGGTAATTAGAACACCCTCGTGATACCACGGTCATTAATCTTTTTTTTCTTTTCTCCACCCTCACTCCAACACGGTAGCACTTACCATTGGCGGTATCGAGATTTCAGGGCTTAGATAGACCCACATTGTTGACTTGCAGCAAAGTACGACCGCGATAAGAGACGTTGAAGCCTTTTTCGATCTTAACGCGTTTTTTGAATTAATATTTAATTTGAAATTAAAGTCGACGGTTTTTCGAAGCCTTGGACCTTCAAGATCAACGTATCCCGAGCTCAACCTTC